GTAATGTAGAAGCCTCTGCATCAATTCTGTCCCTTTCTTTCAGTGTGGCTTAGGAAGACATCCATTTCCAGAACAATCTATTATATCAGCTGGCACTGCCTATTAGAATTTTTGCTTGTTCCCTTGGTGAGGGATTAAATTTCAAGCATTACTGTCAGTCATTTTTCAGTCATGTTCTTTTTTGCAAAGCAAGTTGTGAGCAAGGAAAGCAACTGCTTCCTTTCTCACTGCATCTTTACCTCCTGTTTGCATGGTCCTAACTAACCCTGACATAACTGTGAGCTTTTCTGTTGAGGGCAAGAAAAGATGCTGCTTTTCTACCCTGGACCAGGACATTAAACTAGTCATAGTGTTAACTTGTGTCAGTCTATAGGAGAAGATTCCAGTTCAGGTGGCATGCTGATAAGAATTCTCTCATTTGTCCCTATTTGGGAGAAATGTATTAGTCCTGTATGGGGAGGGGGAGAGAGTGAGGATTGAAATCCCAGCCTGGTAAAAAAGAATGGGATCTGCATAACAATTCTTTCTGTTTTGGTATTTAAAATGACACCAACTGAATAAATCTTTCACATAAAATTTACTAGTAAATGTACAAGCTTGTTGGAGCAAATTCTCTTAAGTTCCTCTATGTTTAAGTTTCCATAATCTGAAATATTACTTACATGGTTCTCTTTAAGCACGGCTTCAAAATGGCATAAGTATTTATTTGTTTAGTTTTTTCCCTGTCATTGCTAAGTAGTTGGATTGTTGAGAGTTTGATTGTTGAGTTGACTCATGAAGTCATACAGACGCTACAGTACTAGATATTCCACCAATGTCTGCATTTATTCTGCCCTGTGATTAGTTAATGTTCCTCACCTGTCTGAGAGCTTTCAGTACAGGCATAACTGTTAACCTTGGCTGAGTTTTTGTTTATTGCCTTCTTGGCTGTGCAGTTTTTCAGTTTTTGCCCTCTCTCCCAAGGACGGTTTTGTGTAGAAAAAGTGTTATGTGCTTCTGCAATGGGGCAGCTTCCATTGAAGACAGAATTCCTTTCCTAACAAAACCTAAGATGAAGGGAAGTAACAAAGAGGCTGAAAATACATGAGCTCAATCGAAACTATAGTAGTTTTAACATTTCAACAAAAATGCAGAGTCGGTAAAATAAAGTAGTTTTTAAGACTGATAGCAGCAAAGAAATTGCTGGATTAAAAGGAGTTAGAATTGTGTATTCGTATTATAAGAATTGCCTTTTGAAGGTCTGGGTTATGGAGTTCTGTTTGCTCTCATTTAATGTGGTGTCTTTATTTTGGGTTGTTTTTGATTTTTAAGGTTGGAAGTTTTATTGCCATAGAAGTAAAGCAAATGACCACTTGATATAATAAGGTAAAAGTCAGGGTCATGTGAAAAAATATTGTATGGAGGAAACACTTGCATTTCATTGATTGTATAGAGAAAAGACTCTTACAGTTTCTTGCAGAAGTATTTCAAAGCTTTTCACTGGTGGTTTTTAAAGCGTGGAGTGTTGTCCTGTCGGGTAGAAGACCACACAGTATTTCACCATGAGGACTTTTGAGCTTTCTGAGAAGGAACTTTCCAGAAAGTTGAACACTTTCAGCAGTAATGGATTTTCATTTTCTTGGTGTGAAGGAATCTTATGTTGCCATTAAAACATTTGGGAACTGTGGTATCTTTTATTTTGCAGTACGTAAGCAGTACACTAAAGAAATTTCATGCTTTTAGTCCATGTCAAGTTTTTATGGTACTTTCAGATGCTTTGGGAGGCTGTGTTATTGTGTTTTCTTTTCGTTTTCCCCCAAATCTTGTTATGTTGTCTGCTTATAATCCTTTATTTGGCACATGGCTGTGCTGCAGAAGCATTTCAAAACTATTACTTCTACAGTCCCCCTTCTGGGAAACAAATGTGTCCTTATTTACATACCAGGAAATCTTAGCTCTGCAGATGTCACAGGAAGAGCCATATTGTCCTTGATGGAGACAGATTAATGATGTAATCATAAGAAAATTGTAAGAACTTTAATGTATTTCTCTACATTAAAAACAAACAAAATAAAACAAGCAAACAACCCCAAAACACAAAACAAAATTCGCTCCCTCCAAAAAAACAAACCTAAAACTAAAAAAAAAAAGAACCTAACACAACTAAATTGTATACACACATATAAAGCTTTAAATGGAAAAGCTGCAATTACATTATGCATTTTGACTCTAAATCCTATTTCCACTTGGGAAGGAAAGCTTTTACTAAACATTTAGTAAAATCTGGACTACTTTACTGAAAGGGCTTAAGTGTGAGCATGGTGCTAGGAAAACTGGCTTCTCTATATCTGAATACTTCTGCCAAAATTGCATCATGCAAGGGGCCTGCTTGTGAAATGACAAATCATTTCTCAGGAATAGTGACAGTTTTACAGGTCTACACTAATGGGAATTTAAGAAATCGAGTAGGCTTGAGCACCCTGTCCTGGTGAGTTTCAGAGTACTACAGTTGATGTTGTCAGCCCTGGTAAATAGTTTCTTCCTGTGCCAACACCGTGGGGAAAGACTTGATGACTCTTACAATAGAGGTCAATTAAAATTAAGTTTAAAAGTTTTTTTCTTCAGAGGTATAGGAAGAGTTTAATAGTTTTCCACCAGTCACTATTCAAATATTATTCCTAATGTGGGCTTCTTATTATTAATATGCTGTAATATTGATAATTTTTATTTGCCTATATTGTGAAAAAAAACTTTTTTAGAAGAGGAGAGTATGTAGTGGCAACATCAACCAACTGCATTGGTGATGTCCTATTTCTTCATGTTCTCCATGTCCTCAGGAATAGTAAGAATTGACCATTTTACAATTGCTGAGATAAAATAAACCAACCTAAATTGGAGAGATAGATTATATTGACAACACCAGCCTCCAGAACATGCTTGACTGCCGTCCCCTGTGGCTACATCAGCTTATCGACCTGTAGGCTCTCTGTCCATTTTATGTCAGTCAGAAAGCAGGGCAGTTTATTGAAGGCTGAGGTCCAAAGTTCAGGCTCTTCTCTGTCATTGTCAGATGGGATTATTATTTTAGGGGGAAAAAAATGGTTGAATGGTTACTGACTTATTTATTGTAAAACCATCAGTTCCACTGCATGACTCACAGCCTGTTTGAGCTGTAAGGATTGTGCTTCTCAGTTATTCAAAGCATCATAGCTCCTTTTTAAATTCGTCTTGGGGGCCTCAGCCATGAAAATGCATATTTGAATAATGTTTTAATTGTTGTATGTTCTTTCTGGTTTTTGATTGGAAAATTAAAACTTAAACCTGTTCAACTCATCTTCAGATTTTCAAAAATCATGTCCTGCTTTGGCCATGAGGGGTAATTTTGCTGGTGCTTGCCAGAGCTTTGCTGTCAAATGGTTTAGCAACCGTAGCTCAGGCCAATATGATGTTCTCCTAGAAACAAAATTAATGATAAGAGGAGGCTATTAATTTATAATAGGGCCCACTATTATGTTTTATGATTATAGATTAAATAAGGAAAGCACTTTTTTTTCCTAGAGTAAATAAGCCAAGTTTTCTGGCATGCAGTTTTCACAGTTTGTACTGTAGCTAAAGGGGGAAGTGTTTGTGTGAGTTTGTGTGTGTATTTACGGACTGCAGAAGGAACCCTTTTAGAATATAAGTGATATAACTTACATGCTGAACAGAATTTCTGAATGAAATCTGGTTTTTAATTTCCTTTCTGTCCCATAAACAGCTAGGTATCAGAGAAGATAGGGTTGTGGACTTACAAGACTTAGGCAACAAAGTCAAATATTACAGAAGTCTTTGGACATTAATAGTTTGAAGTACTTTTGCACCTTTTTCTACTAATCTGTAGTTTAAATGAAATCCACACCTTTTATTTAAAAATCTCAGAATCTACTACATTGATTTTCAGATATGTTGTCACCTCCTACACTCTCTCTGTCCTCCTTCACTTCCCTCTCCCCCAACCCCCACAGCAGTAATTAGAACGTTTTAGGTGACTTCTCAGAATTAAGAAGGTAAAATCAACATGGCTCGGTTGGCATTATAATATATTTGAATGTCATTGGTACTAGAATTGGACTTTTCCTTGCACACTATTGTGCTGCCTCGCATTGTTCCTGGTAATTGCTGGGATGCGTAGGAAAACGTGGAGGCATGCAGCTGCCTTTGTGCAGCTGACAAATAGCTTTGAAAGAGATCATTGTTCTTACAGGTAAGTGAGAGAAAGACATCTCATTCAGTCTTAATGAAGCTCTGGATATGTTTCAGGTAGGGAAGAAATGAAATGCAGTGGGTGCTCTTTTCCACCCCGCTGACTAATGCCTGGTGCAGGACTGTGCTGAGCTGGGATCTTCCTGGGAACAAAGGAGGAAGTGAAGACTTAAAGGCAGTTTTGTGCTGCCTGCACAAAACGGTGAACAAAGGCTTGCTAAAGACAGTACCCTCTTATTGATGGCAGATTTCCTTTCTGGGCTGCATTACTTCTTGAATTATTTCTTAACTTTTTAATTAATGAGGATGGACAACTTTGTTTAAATGCAGAAAACTTATATACGTAATGTTAGTATGAGGACATGGGACTAGTGTAGAAGGAAAATACGTTTTTGGAATGTTGCTATTTTATTTTTTTTCTCAGAACTTGGAATGCCACATATGGGATACTTTTATAATGTTATTATGCAAAAATTAAACAGATTTTGTAAATAAACTTCTGTTAATATGTATCTATATAATATTTTATATACATTCTGATGAAGTGAAGGTAATAAATTATGACTAGAATTCAGTATCAATATGCTGCCATATTTTAGTGGCTGAAAAACCAAGAAGTCATTATGACTTCCCTTATTTTTAAAAGAGGGTTCTCCCTAAATGGCATTCTCATTTTCCCCTAACTTTTTTCTTGCTTCTTTTAGAAGAATTAAAAAAAAAAAGAGTAATAATTATATGACATAATTTACTGAGGATAACAGTTTAATATTTTGTTGCAGAAGGACTCCATGAAAGATGACAGAAGAAGTTATTGTTATTGCAAAGTGGGATTACACTGCACAGCAGGACCAAGAACTTGACATCAAGAAAAATGAGCGTCTTTGGCTATTAGATGATTCTAAGACATGGTGGAGGGTAAGAAACGCAGCCAACAAAACGGGATATGTGCCATCAAATTATGTGGAGCGAAAAAACAGCTTGAAGAAAGGTTCTCTGGTTAAAAATCTAAAAGACACATTGGGTAAGTAATTTTGTATTTTGGAATAAATTTAGTAGACTTGATGAGTTTCAGGTTGGGAATGTAATGTGGATATAAATATTTCATAACGTGTGTTTGGATTGTCTTTATGCTTGGTTTGAAGTGATATGATGGGCAGATGATTGAGGGAGGGAGAGACAGAGGGAGTGGATGTGGGTGTAGAATCACGTGTAAAAATCTGTAATGTGTTTCCTTGCATCACATCCAGAAGAAAAAGATGTTACTTTTGTTTCAGTTTGTCAAAGGTTGTGTATTTTCAATGGCTGAAGAACTATGAGTTTCATACACGTGTCAACTGCTGAATCCTCTTTTCATGCCAACTCCTCTCACTTGAAAGATGAAGGATGTAAAATGGATTGTTCAGCATAGTATAATAGCCAAAGATAAATCATTTATGAATGGGATTTTACATAGTGTGGCTATGTACAGAGCCAGGGGTTAAGTTTCTGTGGTCTGAGATTTTCTGTTGACTTTCAAGTCCTTAAATATGTATTCTATTTTATACTTGCACATAAAGTCTTCACAACAGTATCTCATACATATAAAATAATCTAGGTTTGAAAAATTTTGTTTGCATTTTAAAGAAATGTATTTGAAAGTTAAGTGAAATGTTTTTCTTTCTTTCTCTTCGATTTTTAAGGCATTGATTAAAAAGTGCTTTGCATATGCCTGGGAAAGGTTATAAACATAATGCTAAGTTGTTGTTTTATGCCAGGAAAACCTACTAGTGGTATTTTAGAGTGTTATGAATAAAAGAGAAACAGGCACATTAAAAGTGTTTTGAGGGGTTTTCTTTTGCTTCTGTTTTGGTTTTTTGCCTGTGTTTTATGAAGTCTTACATAGGGAAAATATGTTCTGTTGCAGACTGCTGTCAACAGCATGACTCTTCAATAGAAAAATTAGGATTTGGGATTGTACTTATTGGAAAGTTAAAACATTCACTTAAAAATAACATGGCAATAACTTATGTGGGATTATCCTGTGCCAATGTTGTTTCTAACAGATTTTGTTTCTTAGTCGCTCCTTCATTACCATGTCTTCCATTGCTGAGCTGCCATAACGTACATAGAAACTGGGGACTAGAGGATGGGTGGCAGGCAAACGAGGTCATCATAAAATTTACCATGCTAATATTTAGTACCACAGTCCTTTCTACAGATACTCTTGGAATATACTGATTGCAGTGCCAGGAAATGTGATTATGCCTTTTCAAAGATTTGCGTGGTTAAAATCAAAGTCCCAGTTGTGACATTAAGCTCCTTTTGTATAGATTTATGTTGTTTAAAACATAAATTAAATGTATGTATTTTGTCTGAAAGGTACGTTAGGAAAGGATTGCAGTCATGTTGTAATAATACTTCAAATGTTCATGTAAAATGTGAACAATAGTTGCTTGATGTAAACACATTTTTATTTATGTCCAACAGAAATCTATTTAAGTGAAGGAATAGAGGTGTGTCCTAGCCTATGTGTGTGTTTATTTTAAAAAAGCTGCATGCTATGCAGGGTGCTTCCCTTCACTCTGGTGGTGAATGATGAAAAGGTGTGAGAAAAAAGCTTGATGGTTTAATGGCTGAGCCGTCCCTAGGTGTCACATCTTCCAAGACTCAGCCCTTTGCACACACCTGCATGGGTTTTTAAGTTCTGAAGGACTGTTAGGACAAGTTAGGCATTCCCTGTTCCCTTTCTAATGGTTTTCTCTGTGTGTTTGTTCAGCTGAGGCAGAAAGTGCCTTAGGATGGGGTCTGGCTTTTTGTGTGCTGTCACCACACTTAGCTGGTGAGCATCCAGAGTGTAAAGCCTCTCGTGCTCTTTTAAGCTCCTACATCCTGTGACACTGAGAAACTGCCTGAGGCATACCTAACTCACAGATGGATTCAGAATATTCTTAACATCCACCCAAAAGAACTGGTGCTTAAGAGTATTCTTTTTTAGTAGTTTAGGTGCTGTGAACTCTTTACCGTAATGAAACATGTATGTGCTGTGCACCACGTATCTGTACAACTTTTTTTACCTCTCTTGAATCAGAGTCCTCAACTAAACTATAGTCTTTAAGTCTTTCCTGTCTTGCTGTAATTTCTCATTCAGAACGAGCAGACCATGTGTCCTTTCTTAGTGGATCCATTGTTTTGAGAGGCCATCAAAAATGCAGTCCTTCTTTTTAAACAAAGGCTTGCAAATTGCAAGACTGATGTTTCATCTACTGAAACAGCTTTTGAAAGTTTTGCTTCGCCCAGTGAAGCAAGTTCTTAAGTTCTCTTTATACAAATATGTCTAATGTATCATCACTCCTGCCTCTCAAAGGATCACAAGAAAAGTCTCATTAAAATACTGCCTAATCCAACACAGTTGGGAATGGTGGTCATGAGTATTAGTCCTTAAATCAAATCTGTTTCCAACTTTGGTCTTGAAGCTACTGCCAAAATATCAGGTACTGAACTTTAAAAAAACCCAACAAAATGTCACTTAATAGTCTTGTCAATAATTAATAACGAATCTTGTGAAATCTCAAGAAACACCCAACTCATAGCTGCTTCCAGTGACGTACTTGCACTCCTTTTCATACTTGTGTCACTCAAGCAAATGATTGTTCCCATGGAGATGCACTTTTCCCTGCTTCTTTTTTAACAGATTACATTTCTTTGTGTTAAAAAATAATTCATCTGAAAGCATTGTTATCAAGCAAATGATGTCATGTGTTGTCTGTGTGATTATCTGCCAGTCTTGTGCTTATCCATGGTAATTACCAGTGCTTGATTTTTTTATATTCAATAAATATGAAAAGTGATAGCCATAGTTCAAATTGTGGCAGACCCTGTAGGAGCTATAACTATTTAATTAATAGTTCCCCTCATTTGCTGTTGAAGATATATCATCTGAATAGTTATTCATCTTTGGCATTAGTCTATGTTCTAATGAAACTTTATGCCACGAGTTATGCTGGTGTTTTGTACACAAAAACACATAAAAGTACACCATGAAAGTTTACTATCTTTTCGAAGTTGCTTTTATCGGGAGAACTTATAATCTCATCAGAGAATTGAGTTATGCCTGTTTGATGCTAAGAACTAATTTTCCCAGAACTGTTGACTGTCATTAATTATATCTCAACCCTTGAATATTTTATTAATAGTCCTATCAGCTTTAACATTTTTTAGCTTGGGGTTGGTGGAAGGTTAATGGACATATGGGTACCTAGAATAGGCAGCTTGATGTTTTAAAATATCAGCTCATTTTTAGCAGGCTTCTTGAATTTCCATTTTATTTCAGCATTTTTCGAAAAAAGCATCAAATAAAATGTGTTCAGAAACAGCTCTCCTGAAAGTTTTGGGTGCTTATTAAAATGATGATTAACTCTTGTTTAGCATATGTTCATTAAATTCGTTCCTTGTGGACTGAAAAACAGCTCACCCAAAATCTCAAATGAACCCCAGTAATTTCTGAAGAGATATTTTAGAATCATCCTATGGTTTTTTACAATACAATAGCCTTTTCTACACTGTTCACTTTGTGTTTACCTTTTTAAGGGCTTGCTCTGTTCTATTGTATCTTCTTTTAGTCCTGACATCAGGGAATTTTCTGTAACTTTTAACTTTCCTTAAATTACTTGGAGGAACTTTGAGTCTTGTAATTCTTCAATTGATGGATGTGTGGTTTTTGTCATTTTTCTGTTTGATATATGCTACTTGTGATCTTCTTAAATCTCTTTCTTGAGTGAGGTCTAATGAATACTCAGCTTCAATGGCCTAGTTTTAATTATGGAAGTATAGTGTATAGGCCACCTATTGAGTATTTTAAATGATTGATCTTCTCATTCCCTCTTTTGTCTTAACTGAATGATACTGCAAGTAAAAAGTTAATGGTAATTTGAGCATTTCAAATTGCTGTCTTCTGTTTGCTCATACTGAATGAAATCTGGTAATTATTACTATTCTTAAGGCAAAAGCCAGCTTCCATGCCTGTGATTAAAATTTCATCTTCATTCATTATAATGAAGTTTAAAATAGTTTCCTTTTACAGTATTTCATTTGTGGGGAGGGTATTTTCTATACATTTTGAATAAGTCTTACTAAGCAAGAGACCTTCAGCATGCATCTTTTAAACTGTAATTTTCTATAATATAATTCTTCCCATGTGCTGGGGGGGTGGAAAGGAATTCCCATATCCATTTGTTTGGAGTGGGTGTTTGCCAGCACCACCCCCAGAGCTGCCTCTGAGTGCAACTCCACGGGTTTCCCCGTCTGCAGCAAAGATGATCTATGCCTGCTGGCTCATCTCTGTCATGCCAAACAGAAACCTTATCTGAAGGAAGCCAAAATAATTGAGAAGTCAGTTGTTTGTGTACTCAAAATAAAACTTCTACATTTTTTCCATCCCTTTGCAAGTCATTTTCCTGGCAGCAGCACAGCTCCCCAGGCAGCAGCGTGCCATGAGTGACTGAAGCGTGTGATCCAGCAGCAGGGTGCCATTTTCATGGGAATCCATGATTTTCTGAATGTTACTGCTTTTTTGCTTCATAACCAGCACTGTATGTAGGCTTTTCTTACAGGTTTCTGGTCTTGTTCCCTTTAGTTAAAAACTGCATAAGAAACCTTGAGGACATTTCTACTCTGCTCTTGGTGTGGGTTTTTGAATAGATGCCCTGCAAAAGAAAAAAGGTTAAATAAAATGTGTATTGAAAAGGAGATTGGACACCAAGAAAACAGGAGAGGTATTTGCAAATCTGTAGGAACAATAGAAACGGATGAGTTTTGGTGGTGATGGCAAGTAACAGTAACCTTGATAACATTTCACAGACACATTTGAGTTGCATGAGAGACTTTTTAAATGGCTCCTTTATTAAGCTTCTGGAAGTCTGCAAAACTTTTCAGTAACTTTTTAGTTTTAATTCACTCAATATGTCAGATTTGGAAAGGAAGGATTGTTAAGCAGGATGTAATGTAGAGAATCTTGCTTGTATCAGTGCTCCTAGTAGGTTATTC